TTTTCATCCCATTTGTAACCCATTCCTAAAATGTCAAGCACGAATAGTGACTAGCAGTAGAGTTTATCTGTGGAACCCTCTCTGGGCTGTGTTTGGTACACAGGTCACATCCAAATCCCAGCTCTGGCACCAACCTCAGTTTCTTCATCTCTGATATAAGGATGACACTTACCTGCACTGGCTGCTGGGAGGATTCAAAATAATGCAAAGTCCCTGAGTCTGATGCAAAGCAGGCCCTTCACAAATGGCTGCCATTATTCGCATTATTGTTGACCCTTTGCACACTTAAGTGGTTCTTGCCACAGTAGAACTTATATCTAGAATTGGAAGAAAACACTTTATAATCAAACATCTTGATTCTTTAGGCCTAAGCAGCATAAATAATGACTGTTTTCGAGTTCTTATAATCTTGATGTATGCTTTTAAAAATATCTTGTCATGTTGCCTGTGGCGGCTCTATTTTACTGTCATTTCTAGGCTGTCAGGCTAGTTCATCAGCCCTGAAAGCTAACCACACAGAGGATACACACCCTGAATACAAAAGCCTCTGCCAGCAAAGCCTATTTGTTTTGTCATGGCAACCCTTGTCACTTCCAGCTGGAGAGTGATGATGTCATTATCAAGAGAGGGCCAGGATGCAGGCTGAGAACCCAGTCTGAGCTGCAGGATTGGAAAATTATGGCTCAGAGTCAAACGATCATGATACAAAGAGAAGCCATCAGCGCAAGGCACTTAGGGTTTATACCAACGAACACAGCCTTTGATAGGAAAGAATTGGGTTTGCAAATTTGACAGTAAGAGTAATACCTGTGTGTGTGTGATTTTAAGAGAGAATGCATGGAGCTCCTTCAGTTTGCAGGTAGATCTGTGCTGCTGTTCAGTGAAACTATAAATAACTATCATAGTCCGGTAGTTCTTTTAAGTCTTAGGATTAAAGTGCAGCGTGGTCGGGTCAGAGATCTGCTGCCTAGAGATGGGGACAAACTGGGGGGTGCACAGGAAACAGGAGGCCCACAGGAGTCTGACAGCTAGAACAGGGAAGGAGCCTCCAGCAGGCTGGTGATAGACTCTGCAACCAAACTGACCCTTTGAAGAGTGATGGGGGTACTATTAGCATTCGCCCCTGGACTGCAGGCATAAATGAGAATTGTCCCCAGCAAAGCAGGTCATGTGGTCATTGCACATAAATCACAGAAACGACCTGGTGTCCTCCTGAGAAAGCAGCCGTGGTGATTTAGCACTAGGAGTGCTGCCGCACAGCAACACACACCTGAGAGGGAGATGCTGGCCATCTACACGCAGGTCCTGAGAAAACACTGCAGGGCAGAGCGAGTTTTCCCTGCATTTCCTTCAAGGTTCTCCAGCTGGCTACTAATCAACTTGACATAAGACCGAACAGGAGAAAAAAATGTTTCACGTCATATAGGAGCTACTAGAAAAAACGAGACTCAAAGAAGCGATTAAAGCAGGCAGTTTTATACCTTTTAAACAAAGAATTATTCATGAAGAATTGATGAAGGGGTCTGGGCTCTAAGAGTCAACTAGAACACTCCTACCACTATGCCAAATAAATGATGACCTTCAGAAACGAAATCTGGAACTGTGTCCAATAGAATCTTAGTGCTAAGAAAAGGCTTAGCAGATCTCTAGTGCAATTGTGCCTTTTTACAACTCACATGGCAGAGCCGTAGTCAGCCTGAGCAGCACAGGGGGCAGGCCTGCACGTGCAGCCTGTTCCTGTCCTTTAATAGCTGTTCTGGGCAAGGTGCTCAGAAGTTTTGTGGCTTGACCCCCAAGTCTTGTGGCCGTGCTGGAAGGATGGAGTAACGTATAAAGTGGTTTGGCAATGTCTCGAGTCAGGCCTCAATGGATGGAAGCCACTGTTTACCGGGTGACTAGCTTGAGATCATAGTGCAGGTTTATGGTAGGTCGTAACTGTCATTCTATTTTATATGCTAATGGTAGGCAAAAGGGACAAGGGAGTATTACAAACTTGTGTACATATATATTTTTAGCTTTTACTCTGGAATAATTTCATATTCTAGAAAAATTACAGGAGTAACATAAAGAACTTGAATCTGCTCCTCAAACCGGTGTCCCTTTGGATCCCAGGCTGGTGCTCAATCCGCCGAGCCACACCAGCCAAGGCAGTATATCCTTTTCTTTCTAAACTTTATTTTTATTATTGACTCTACAGGTATCCCCGTTTACCCACCTTTGCCCACCTCCACGCAGCCCTTGCCCCTGCCTTCCCTCTGGCCATCACCACACTGTTGCCCATGTCCATGGGTCGTGCATATATGTTCTTTGGCTAATCCCTTCACTTTCTTTCATCTAGTTCCCTTTCCTCTTGTAACTACTCTTGTTGAGAATGAGAAACCTCATTCTAATTATCACCCTTCCTGACCCTCGAATCCAACACGGGCCTCCAATTCTTGCCTTCCCAACCCATGTTTTCTCTGACATCTTTTGGTAAGACAACTCAATTTAGGAGACAGAACCGTTAGATACATTCTGGACATGATTTGCTTAACTCTCAGCATCTGTTTCAGAAGCTTCTTGCTGCCCCAGCCAAGTCTTCCTACAGCATTGCTGAGGGCTGGCCAGCGTTAACAGTAACTTCCAGAGAAACATTTATAATCATCCCTGTGACCAACAAGGTAATTCTAAATTCTGTCAAGGGATGTCAAGAAGTGCCTCCCGATACATAAAAAATAAAGTAAATATAACTACTAATAGCAATATGGTAACACTAAAAATGATTAGAAAATCTAAGCTTGTAATACTGTTATAGAGAAATGACTTAATATCAGTTTGGCTTGCTAGGTATAGTACCCAGAATGGACAACTCATTTTCTGTATATGTTTCTTAAGGCCACTGTTGAAAAATAACACTGAAGTTCCCACCTGTGGAGCAGGGTCTTGATGGCCTTGCCAGAGGCCCTGAAACTAAAGACAAACAAATTTAACACTTGTTAAAAATTACTATGTGTTAGAAGCTTAAAATTTACACATTTAATTCAACCTTTGTAATGACTGTGACAACCCAATGAGATGAGCAAATTACCAAGCCTCAGAGGGTTCACAGGTGTCGGGCCTGGCATTCAAACCTAGGTCTTCACCATTCTTCTTTGCTTCCAATATTAGCCCTGTCTTCTAACCGTCTCCTCTTAGTCTTCTGCAAGGTATTAGAGATCCAGCAATTCAAAAGTAAATGTCAGTCCTCATAGTTTATTGGTATGCATTTTAAACAATTAAAAAATTTTTTTTGAACTTTACCAATCCTGGCACTAATTACAAAACTTACTTTTAACCTCTAAAATTGTAATCAAATCTACCAATATAAAAATTCAAGTAATAGTCATCAAGGAAATAGTTACTAACACAGTATTTTATTTGGGAAAGATTTTAAATTGCCCCTTCTGTTCCCATTAGGCTCTGTTCTCTTCCTCTTTTTTAGAATCCCCCCCCCCCCCCGCCACCCCAACCAGTGAAGTGCCAAAGGAAGTGAGAGAATGACGACCTAGAGCACTTCTAGAGAGGGCTTCGGTGTTTGATGAGTGAAAACAGCACGGGGCTGGGGCATCATGTTTCTTGGCAGTAAGGCCGTTTTAAGAAGTTGCTTTTTGTAACCTGGTCCAATAGCTATTTCATCATGCCTTTTAATGTTCAATGCACAATATAGATGTAGGCCAATAATCAAATACTTTCCATCCATTATTTTTAAAACGCAAAAGATAGATTTATCAATGTCTTTTAAAATACAATTTCCTTCAAAACGCTTTAATATAAAATGTGTGCATGTGTAATTGGGAGTAGGCCGGATAGCATTCAACATAGGGGATGTTAGTAATTAATCTTAATGAGGGGAGCTTGAAAGCTAAGTGGTTGCCTAGGAAAGATTTTTAGAGACAAAAATGCATGAAATGAAGTGTAAGAATATGGCAGATCCTGCAAGCTCATGACTTTTGATTAGTTCCTCAAGTCTAGAGCTCTGCCTGCCCGTCTACCACTTTCCTCTGAACCCTACATATTTAAGACTGTTTCTGATCCAATTAGGTCACCTAATCCTCCTCCAGACTATCATTGCTTCCGCTGCACTGTGAAGTGTTCAGTCCAGGTGTTTGCGTGATTATGAGCAGAGAAGAATCTTTCTCAAGCTTTTCACAGTTTTGTTTGCTAATATTTGTTCATATGATAGAACTCTCTTTTGCTTTTATTGTAATATACCACCAGGTAGTGAGGTTATGCAAGAGACACATAGCCTTACCTTCCAGTAAAAGCTGGTGACTACCTACCAAATGAATCTGTGATTGGTGACTAAATTTGCCTAGTCAGTCTGCCATGTGGTGGAAGGGAACTAAAAGTCTATCCACCCTCATTCCATGGGGAGGGTCATATTGGACCTGAGCACTATTCTTAAGGTAGTGCCTACTTAAGACCTCTTAGAGCTGGACAGAAAGCAATTCAGCCATTCAGGTCAAGGTCATCCTTTGGCAGTGTTATTCTTAAAACAGAGCTAATAATTTTACACCACTTCTAGTTAAAACTTGATTAGTCAGAAGGTTTTCAGTTTGTTGATGCTCAAGTTTAAAAATATAAACGAAATTTAAAAAACCCAAGCCAAATTAGAACTGTGACTCTAATTTAAAATAAATCTATTCTAGCTACCTATTCAGAGAAAACTGGGAAAATGTCACTGAGGTCAAATGAAGGGCATTTTGAAAACTCAAGAATCATCCTGAGTAAAATTATAACATGTGAGAAACCTGAAAGTAAAACTATGTCAAACACACTTGGTGTATCATGCTAGGTTGATTTAAACAAATAAAACAACTCTGTTGAACAGACTGCTTTAATATGATACATGTACATGACAACTGGGTATAGGGAACCCCCCCCCAATTAACGTTTTTAACAAGTTACAGCCATTACTAAAGACGATGTGCTTGAATTTTAAAGAAACAGTCCAGTAAATGAATAGACTCTCAATCAATCTGTAGATTAACCAATTTCTTTTTTAATAAAAACCAATACACTACAGTGGTAGAAGTTTACCTTTTTTACACTCCACATAAAAACATCTGTTCCCTCTCCTTCAATATTTAGTTATTTGTAGCTTCTAAAATGGTAAAATAAAATGGAATCTAGATTAGTAAATGAAAGTGCAAGTTTGTACAGCCAAGCTCAGCAGCAAAGGTGAAGAACGATGAAGGTGAAAGCTGATGGGTGCCACGGAGCCGGGACACTCAGGCAGGGTGTGCCCAGCAGTCAACGTTCCATGTTTTCATTGCTCTTAAACGAGCAAAACCAAACACTATTTTGTTACTTAAAGAAATATTAATTCTTTCTATCCACCCCCACCCCATAGCTTGTGATCAGGTAAGGCAAAGATGAGTCCCACCATCACTGGGGACAGCAGCGACACACAGACTTTGGAAAGAACCCTGAATCATAAGTGACATTCTCTTATGGTACCACAAGGAATGAATCTAATAAATCAAATCTGTACTGTTGTCACGTTATTCTAATTTATTTGATTAGTTTATCTGGAAAAAACTTTATAAATACATTATTTTAGAGGACAGTAAATTATTTTCTTGCTCTGAAAAAATAATGTTTTTTTCTTCACATTTAAAAACTGTTTAGTATGCTTTTGGAAAAAGAAATGCAAGAATGTGACAGCTGGGTTTGCAGAATGTACAAGCTGCATGTACAAGAAACTGGTAACTTGCCTATAATTTGCCTCTACAAATAGATCTCTTTGCAATATAATTTAAACAAACAGGCTTAATTTAAACACCTCTCCTATTCATTCTACTCGTCGAGCAAAGAGGTACTTATTTTTCAAGTATTGTAAAAGGTAAATTTTTGGTGCCAATTTTACCTGTTAGCTTTTAAAGACCGAAATATCTATGCGAATAGTCATGCCAAGTCAGCCCATTTCTTTTATAGCCGCCAAATGCTCTCATCTTTCAGAGAATGAAAAAAAATATTGATTTGCTGAAAGGAGCTCACTGGGAAAAGCCATGTCAAAGTACTGAAGAACAAGGAGCGTTTGTTTTTTCTATTGGCGAAAATTATTAGAAGAGCTATCCAGTCTGTTGTCTTTAGCTGGTTTTAATAAAGTCTGTTCAAAATGATGCTCAAGAAATCTTTAGAAAACTGGAGGACGAGGGATGGTCCTTCACGGCATGGGAAGAATTCCATTAATTGTAGAAATTCTTATTAAATTTCTGCTTTGGTGCTTCAGTAGAAATGCTCATATAACTTCTATATTAGGAGAGAGAAAAGAGAACACATTACTATATTTATCTAACATCTTATTTACAGAATCCTATAGTACTATTTTATATTTGTAAAGCTTTACTATGCATTTAAGATCAGGCAATTTTATCAGGATCTATGATCATATATTTAAGTGAATTCTACCAGTAATAGGAAAATACATGTCCTTTTCTTTATTTCAAGTTAGGCTATCCCATTTACTTTTCTAAACTGCATATAGAGATTGTACTTTTCTTTGAGATTAGGGACTGATATACATTTTTTATCCTTAGTATTTGAAGTTTTGGTCTCCAAACATATGTTGGAGGTCAAATGAATGTCAATAAATAGTCATGATCCCCCCCAAAACTCTTATACTACTTAAGATCACAGACACTGGACTACTTTCCTGGAGAAGCTCTGCAAGGGTGGGCACAGAGAGAATGGAATGATGGAGAAATCAACAGGTGATTTAAGGTCTGGCAAGTGAAGTAGATAGTCACCTTGGATGCCCCTGCCCTCTCTGTGAATCTGCAGCATGACAAAATAGGAAGTGGCACCAGGAGTATTTCTACCAGAATGCAAGAGGCTCAAGAATCAGAACGTCAGACCTGGGACGGACCTTACAGCTTCCTTTTACAGTCTAGGAAAGTGGATCACGAAAAAGTGACACTCCCAAGGTCCGTACACTAGAGAAGCCAAAAATATTTATGTGGATAGGTGGTTCAACACTGGCTTTTTCAATGGTTTTAAAGTGGAAAATACTTGGAACAAGTTCACAGATGTAATATAAAAGAAAAAACAATTTGATTACAAACAAGTCTTTACTGACTCCATTTAAACACGCTGAATTTGGCCAGCTCAGTTCATAACAGTGTGATAAAGAGACACTGGTCAGTATGTGAACGTGATCTGGTGGGAAGAGAAGGTGACAGAATTCAGAGACCTGAAGAAAGATGGAGCTGGGGCTACCCTACTTGTCCTTGAGCCTGCTGGGACCGAGCTTTGAGTTGCTATGACTACTAAGTGTGTAACGTTTGATGTACTCCTTATTTCTCTGGGTCCTGCAGAGCTACTGTTCTTTTTCTATTCAACAATGGATGGAAGACCCCTGGACTCAGTGTGCTCCTAGTTCGAAATATGGTCCCATCACCTAAATCATAACTATCTTGTTGCATGTAAAAAGGGCAATAATATATTGTTCAGATTGCTTAACCCAAACACAAGAAAAATGATGGGAGAACATGATGGCAGTCTTCAAACATCTGAACAGCTGAGAAAGGTGGAATAAGAACCAAACCCCTTTTCTCCAGTGGGCAGGACTAGCCCAATGGCTCCTAAGTTATGGTGAGACATTAAGTGCTTGTCTTTATCTGAAGCATGCAGGGCAATGAGTGCCGCTCCATGAGGAGAGGCTCATGGACACCCAAAGGGTGATGCAGACTGAATTTCCACACCTAGTGGGAGAACGGGGTGGGGGGGCACACCCTATCAGTTGCCCAATCCAACTCAAAATTCAATTTCCATGACCCCTTCACAGTCATGTTCATGTGGCTTATTTGATCCATTGAAGGACAAAGTGTGCCACAGCCACACTGAAGAAGGCCCACTCTCTCTCGGGTGTCACATATATGTGATGGTTTCTGAAGGGAAATCCAGGCAAACTTACCTGCTGTCTGTTGTGTTTGAACACCATCTACCTGAGGCAGGGGCCCAAGCGTCCCTTCATCTTCAAAGGCCAAAATTGGTTTCAGAGGAATTTCTGGGTTCTCACTGTTGGTAATATCTAATCTGGATGGTTTAGATCCAATGGGTAAGTTTATGATTTCTTCAAAATTTTCATCCTGAAGAGACACTCCATTTTCATTTGGTTGTTTCTCTAAATTAGGAATACTAGGAAATTTAAAAATCAAAATTAAAATAAGTTAGTATTAAAATGCGAAAATGCATTTTTAGTAAGACCAAAAAGTTTTATAATAAATAATTTTATAACTTTACAATCAAAATGTTAGACCGACTACATCACTACTAACAAAAATGGTAATTCTGATATATTTGTACTTTAAATTCTTTTTTGTTTAAAGATTTTATTTTTAGGCAGAGGGGAAGGGAGGAAAAAAGGGAGGGAAACATCACTGTGTGGTTGCCTCTCACACACCCCTTACTGGGGACCTGACCCCGTGGCACCCAGGCATGTGCCCTGAGCAGGAATCAAACCAGCGACCCTTAGGTTCACAGGCTAGCACTCAATCCACTGAGCTACACCAGCCAGGGCTAAATTCCTTTTTTTGTTTACTTGATTTTAGAGACAGAAAAAAGAGAGAAAGAGAGGGAGACATCAATTTGCTGTTCCACTTAGTTATGCATTCACTGGTTGATTCCTGTATATGCCCTTACTGGGGATCAAACCCTCAACCTTGGCATATTGGGAGAACACTGTGAGCTGCCTGGCTAGAGCTATATTTTAAATTCTTATTTTAAAAAATCTGTTCTTTTTAATATAAAATTTACTACATGGAGTAATTTATCCATCAGAATAGATCATCATCATCATGATGAACAGTTCTACATTCATTTAGCAATTTCTACTGCAGACATTTCCATATTCTTTTGTCTGATAAAGAAGAGCCCTTATTAGGATCTCCAAAGATGAGAGGATTATAGTTTAGGGGTCAAGGGGATGGTTTACACAAAGTCACACAACTACTGATAGACAGCGCAGGCTGTAAGCACGATCTCTTGATTTCTGGTCCTGTGCTTTTCTCATTATACATTCTGTACACTCCCCGGCTCTTCAAATTCTAGCCCTTCCTGGCTATCCATGGCTTCCTAAAACACGTGAATAATTTTATAGGCAAACTGTTCAAGATCAACCTTCTCATCTTAGCCAATCCACTTAATTCTCACTGATTAATTCATGCTTAATATTTTGGATTTACTTTTGAGGTATCTTGAACTGGCTGTCAAATCATTAATTTTCTACCTATAGTTTCTCCTACATTTTTCACCCTCTTCACTAGCTCCATAACCAAATCAGCAGTCCTGTAAGTTATATGCTTAAGCTTTACAATGCAGTAACAACACAATGCAGTAAAAACATGCCTATGCAACAAATGAATGCCATACTGATTAATTTTCTGGTCCCTTCATCTGACTGCAGCAGGCAACATGTATTTGCAAGCTTCATATTTGTTCCATGCTCAACTCATGTATCAAAAATGACCATATCTGACAAAATTCTAGAATTAAAATTTCCAAATGGAAAAATGAAAAAGACTAGAATAATAAAGTAAAAATTGTGAAGGCTTTAACTTCTAACACATACGGACTATAAATGGAACATTCAGTTATAGAAAGAGCTGTATGGAAGGAGACTGGCCAGAGATCACTCAGGCCTCAGTGTCACCAGTGCCAATGCTTGACTTGAGCAAGTCATTCGTCCTTTTCCATCTCCCTTCCAAATGATAAAATAAAGCTAATGTACATCTAATCTCCCCATTGCTATTTTTGGAAGAGTCTTTGTTTTTTTCCTTATTAGGGAAATACTTGCTTTCCCTAATCAATGAGAAGTACTGATTTTGGGAACACATTCTAAAGCATTTCTGATTTGAAGACAGGGTGGGGCAAAAGTAGATTTACAGTTATTCATATGAAAAATAATACAATAATTAGTAGATACTAATACAAGAATAAACTGTTTTGTGTACTCAAAACTGTAAACCTACTTTTCCCCCACTGTATATTTGGGTGCATTTTAAAGTATCAAACCTTTTTTTCCCTAGAAAAAAATAAAGGTGCTTGTCCTAAGTACCTCAAAAGGCATTGCAAGGTACATTGAAAAAATTATTTATAAATGTGCTATGAAAAAAACAATAAAAATATCATACAGACTCAGAGTATGATGCTTTTCTGCTCTTGCACCAAGGAAGGGAGAGGAGACTTGGCATCCCAAAGTAGCCTGCATGAGCATGCACAGGCACGCACAAACACCACATGCATGCACACACACCTAACACCTGCCTTTCCGAGTGCTGGGGCTGCCACACCCACCCTCCTGTTCTTTCCCAACACCAATGGGCTTTCTGTAACCAGGGGAAACAGTTCTGGTTCTCATCCCAGAGGAATTTTAAGGCGTTCTGGCAAAACATAAAGAGGAATGCGTTTGCAAAGTTCTCATTTCTTGTCCATCTCAACTGCCATCCCCTTGGAGGCTGCGTGTGCTGACAAGCTAGTAGTGGCAACGCCAGCCCCAGCCTTGAGTCACAGCTGACTTCATTTCCCCCTCCCACTCCTACCTGGCCACCCCGCCCTTTCTTACTTGTCTGCAATTAGAGAAATAATTGTGCCATATGCTTTGGGTAACCAATTTTCAAATGTTCAGAGGGCACTGTGAGCAGCAGAAACAATAAAACTGAAATCGAAATCACTGTGGCTATGGATCCGTGTATATTCTCAGAATAAAAGCACCAGCTTTTGAATTCCCTTTCTTTGGCCGCACTCTTGGGGTTGAAGCCAGATGCAAAACTCTTGAAGCCTACGTACTTTGCCTGGTCAGTCCAAAACATATCCACAAAAGGGGGTTGGGGCAGCAGCAAGAATCTGACAGTACATACTGCTGCTTATTGTGGCCAGGACCTTATTTTTCTTAATGGTTATTATCATATTATAACAAGTAATTTAAAAAGTGACACACATCTTTCTGTTTGAAGGATGGGGGCTTGGCACTGTCACTTTTCCATCAGGCAAAAAAAAAAAGAAACAACTAAGCACAATAATGAACTTGTAAGATTTGGAGGAAAACCACTAAGTCAAACACCAAAATTATCACAAACCCCTTATTTAAGAGGAGAGACATTCTACTGAAGACACAGACGGCTAGGCTAAGAACAAGCCCAAAACGTCCTCTGGGGTATTAGGAAGGTATGATAGTAGTCTGTATACCCTTGAGTTTTTTTAGCCTCTAAAGATTCTCAGCTGAGGGGGGTAAAAGAATCTAGAGAATAATCTGAGAAATTTAAAGTAATTTCCTGCCCCACCCTTTGTGTTCACTCATTTATCCTTGGTTTCTGGTTCCAAAGCAAGTTTCCTGTCCATGAAAAAACACTCTCCTCCATCAGTGGGCACTTCCCTCTGAAAACTCTCAAGAATCAAAACGGGCTTCAGGAGTAAAAATCATCCTTGCTCAGGACGATTTCTGGGTTTCTGCGAAAGCGGGCCAGCATTTCGGTAACTCCAGTCTTCAGTTCTACGTATCAGTGCGGAGCCTGCTGCACCAGGATAATGGCCTTCAGGCTTTAAAAGGCCTGCACAGCAGAAGCTGACAGCCAAAGAAACCACAGAGGCCAGCTGTGTCCCTCGGCCCCTCAAGGTCAGGAGTAAGGTTCAGGGAGCTTCTCTGCACCAGCAACTGCTGCTCGCCTGAGCTGCTAGAAAGGAACATTCGGAGGACATTGCCGCATCTCTGGGGGGCGGGGGAATGGAAGGCAGATGTAACCCCGGTCACAGCATTCATTTGTTTGTCTTGAAGAGAAAGCAAACCAATGTATTAGGTCCGTGAGACATTAGGAAAAGCAGCACTTCTCCCAAATGTGTTCATCCTAAGGAGTGGAGTTTTCTAGTGAAAACGAACCCGGCCGCAGTAGCATTTGTCATGGTGGATTTCCACAGAATAGCCACTACTTCGCGGTCTTTGGAAGGGACCCTGGGACTCTCCAATTTGTGATTGAGGTCATAGAGGGCAAGCTGGTGGCATCTATAACTGGTTGCATAGTAGGGCATTTAATAAATATGAAGATTATGGAATGCTTCATTAAACATAATGCACGGAGGTAAAAAACAATGTGGTAATTTCAAGTTACTTTGAAATTTGGAATAAAAAAGAACATCAATGAATGTCATTTATTTGTCATTTTAAAGTCTTTAACAGGATTTCTGATGCAGAACTGTTTAAAAACTTGAGTCCCCACTGATTCAAAGAAAATGTGCACTCATGAAGAGGAGACATCTCAGGGAGCAGTGTTAAAGGCAGTGGAAGTAGGTCCTTCTTAGATGGAAAAGTGTGAGTGGCAGAAACCCTGAGGAAATCAGTGCCACAACTAGTTTAATAATAACCTAGAAGGTGTGCAGGATGAAAAATTTAAGTATGCAAATAAAGTTTGTTCACAGAAATTCATGTCCTAACCCCTTGAGGGTAACAGGGAAAGTCATTAACTGTAGGCAAGCTTTCTTTCGAGAAAACTTCGTGAGTTTAAAGAGCTGTACGATGAACCACCCTTAGAAGACAGAGAGCTTTTAGTCACGTGGTGGTGGCAGATCTTGGAATCACTGTAAACTATTTCCTGGTGACATTGATTCTTTATGTTGTGATGGGGAAAAAAAGGACAAGTACCAGATACAACACAAAATCATTTTCCTACAGTATCACTGACTGCAGTTACTGTGTATCTTTTGGACACTGCACTTTAGGAGGATAAAGGTAAGTGACATCTAACGTTTGTATGGTACAATGTAGTTTTCAGACCTCCTTCGCAGGTGCTTTTTCACTGGGCTCCCCAATACCTTGTGGGGTAGGGAAGATATCTCCATGTCCAGATGAGAAAACTATGTTACTTAAGTAGGTTAATAATCCCAGAGTCTCTGGTCTTCTCAGAAATAAAACTAGGAGCCCAACCTGGGATGAATGGGGTAAAAATGGTAGTGTCTGCTCTGATGCGTGTTGGTTAAAAAGGCCCCAGTTATTGAACTCACCTCTCCACAGTCACTTCTGATTGGTGTGAGGGAACCACAAGTGGGCTGGCTCCCGGTTCTCCATTTCCTGGAGAGTTTGTCGTCATACATGGAAGTGCGGATATTGCTGGACATGGCAAAGAAGATGGAACAAAGGGTTATTACTACTCTACTGTCAACCCAAACCCCAGAAGCTACAACGCCTGATTTATGTCCTGGCTCTGCTAGTTATCAACTGCGTGACCTTGGGCAAACCACAAATTCTCTGTGCCTCAGTTTCCTCGTGGATAGTACCTGCCTCATAGGCTACTGTGAGAACTAAATGTATTAACACATGCAAGGTACTCAGAATGGTGCCTGGCATATTGTAAGGGTGGAAACCGGTGTTACTATTTTTGCTTGCACTAAATTGACTTTGGACAAATTCAATACTGAAAGCAAAGCAATTGATGGAGATAGCAGTAAGCTGACTTGATTGGGCTGCTGCCAAACATCTTTACTGAAGGATTTGTAACCATGGAATACCTTCAATGGGACTAACCATGGAATACCTTCAATGAGAAAACATAGTTTTCAAAAGTCAGCTTAGTTCTAGTCACACTTAGAATGTAGGGGATTTCATGAATTATACCTAACTGTGCCACCCTGATATTCGATGCTCAGTGTTAGAGTCCAGCCTGAGCCACCAATATTGATGACCCACTCTAAAATTTGGGACAGGGTTACTTAAGTCTTGTAAACCTTCATATAAATCAGAGTTGCAGAGAAATTTGTGGCAGTTTAGGGTTTTAGTTTGATGTGAGACAATAACTGAAGTAATTCCAACAAAGTGTTATTTCACCAGCCTGGCACAAATTCAGTGAAACTGTCAGAGGTGCAAAGAGTCTGGTAACTGAAGCAAAGAAGTGATTAGTAACTTGAAAGCCACCCAAACTCGCAAAACTGGCAACAGGCAACTTCTGAGAAGACCTGATGGGTCTGTAAGCTCACCTGCCTACCTGCCTGCTTTGGAAATCTCTTAGGAGCACTGGTAACACCATTCAGCTCTCAACCACATGTGGGGTCAAAACAGAAGATATACTTGTTAGCTAGATAACCTCAGGCCTTTGGTACTAATTAGCAGTACTAATTTTTTGTGACAACTGACCAATTTAACCTTCCCTCTTGCCTTTGTTCTTTCTCAGATTGAGGTACAAAGAATACTAAAATAATTGATAGGAGAACAGCAGGAAGGGGAAAGACAAACAAATAATAAGAAGCCAGATCATGCACACATTACAGCATCAACCCCTCAGATAATCCTGAGCAGGATGCAATTTGCATCCTGATATACTCATTCTGATGACTCACTGGGTGCTATGCCCGCTTACAGCCTATCTAGTACAAGATTCTGGGAGACACCTGCTAAAAATGCAAAGGGTTAATATGCAACCACTAGGGCTACTCTCTGAACAAATACAATTAGGGCATCCTTAACAGAGCATGAGACCTACTATAAAGCAATCATGACTGAGTAACTAGAACGGTCTCCGTTGAAATAAAGCCAAATCCCACAATACAGGTATTTTACATTTGAAAACCCCCAGAACTGTCAAAGAAAATTCTCTCATATAAATCATTTCATTCAATTTTTACTCTAATCTTTAAAAATAAACAGAAGAAACCCCTGAGGTATCTCTGGCCCTTTTTTCCATATTGATACTGCAGGTGAGGAAAGAGGAAGCCCTGCATGAGGACCTGCCTCCCACCACCTGTGTGTACAACCATGACGACCACGTGGGATCACGGAGGGAACAGAAGGAAGCTGGCGACTTGGACTCCAGCTGTGCAAACAGAGCCTGTCACTCGATGAGAGTGCCCCTCAGAGGCTGGCACCTGCCTGTCTGGGTCCCTCTGAATCCTGGCACTTACAACAGGACCTGACCCACAGCAGGTCTCTGAAAATGCTTGTTGACTTCCGGACAGAGCATCTTCTACCTCACAAGACTGCAGTGGAAATGAAAGAAGATGTGTGCATATTGTACCTGACACGAAAAGGGAACTTAGTAAGTCCTAACTGAATCTGAGCACTGAAATACTAAGATTATTTTTATTTAAACTGAATCTGGTTTAAAACCACCCAAAAATTAATCATCTTGGTCTATAGCATACAAACAACTTTCTGATGAAATTTCAACAGATTGTTAATTTTAACTCTATTCTGAAGTCAGAACTAAAATAACTAGTATTTAAATCCTTTTTTAGAGAAGTGCCATAAGTACAAGTTGTAAAAATATGTATATTTAAGTGAAACTTCATTTTGTTAATAAAGAATTTTTAATTATGTGTATACACATATATGCATATTTCTTTATATAGCCATACACACTCACACACACACACACACACACATATATAGAGTAAAATGATTTCAGATATTAAACACCCTATTTATGTATCAATAAATCTGAAAAATCATCTTCCAGAAATGCTAGATTGAGTTTTCCACAGGGGGAAATTTGTGGACTAGATGACACACACCTGAGTTTTGTAAGTCAATGATATCTTTTTGTTTTTTTAATCAATCAATCAATAAGTATCTTGTCAATTAAAAAATTCTGAATTTGAATTGATTTCTTTGAAATAAATACCTGTTCCTCCAGTGAGAGCTCCCTTGGCTATATCTCCATTTCTCTGATCTACAGTTTTCTACCAAGAGAAAAAAAAGTAAAAATACTTTTTAATGTTAAAGTTACAAGTGAAGCAAAGAAAAAAGAAATAAAAGCCATTAAGAGTCGCTAAAAATGGCCATCTCAGTACCTTATCTGTAGCTTCTGTTTTTCTGGTTCTTTTCATAATCTCCTCGAGTCGCTATAAGGAAGAATTGAAGAAACAGATCAAACAGAGAGAGAAAGCTAGCTTGGCCCATTCACTTACTAAGCAAACCGTAGGTCATTAAAACACCTCTGTTATTGTGGGAAAATAAAATACCTACTGCTTTGTTTTAACTGGAAGTATTCCAAAAAAGTTACAACTGCCTTAAACCACATGAGTAGGAAGTAACTTTTTTGGTGAAGGTTGATGTATGAATAGCGATTTCTCTGGAGAAAATTACTAGTATTGAGAGCTACTGTAGTTTATCCAGAATGGGCAGAAGATGTTTACTTTCTGATGGCAGTGAGCTAGTCTCTGAGTCTTTCCATGGCTTCAAGTCTAGAAAGAGTGAGGACAGTTAGTGTCCCGGCTTCTGGGTCGCATGCCACTACCTTCTTCCTCTCCAGACGTTCCTGCTCTTGTCTCTGGAAATGCTTCTCCCGTTCCTGCCGGGCTCTCTCTGCTTCTTCCCGAACACGAGCTTCTTCTTCTTTCTAAAAACAAGAAGTCACCATGTGTTTCTTTTTTTTTATTTTTTATTTTTTAAATTAATTTTATTTTTTCTTTCTTTTTTTATTTTTATTTAATTATTTTTCAAGTACATTTTTTGTCTATTTCTCCCATCCCAGCCCCCCCCCCCCCCCTTGCTCCCGTTCTTACACTCAGTCTGGCTTGGCGCCTGCTGCCCCAGTCTCTCCCGGCACCAAGAGGCGGAGGTAAGACGTAGAGAACGTGCGGAAAATGAGAGCACGCACGAACTCAGAGCAAATCTACCAATCTACTGCCCATTTTTCTCTGCCAGAGACAACTCCTACCCATCTGATCAAGAGGCAGCCCCGAGCTGCCTCCTCCAGGAGCCCGGGGTCCCCACCTGTTTCTGCAGACGCTCCACCTCCTCGCGTTCGCGCCGCGCCCGCTCCTCTGCCTGCCTCTGCAGCTGCTCTTCCCTCTCCCGGGCCTGCTCAGCTTCTAGCCGGCGGGATTCTTCTTCCCTGCGAGTTCGCTCCTCCGCCACCTTTTGAGCCAATTCCTCTCTCTTTTGTCTGGAGAAAGAGAAGAACAAAACAATAGGTGGGGAGTTCCTTGGAGAGGGTCCCCGGGTGTGTTGTTATTGCCAGGACAGTTTGTTCCGAGGTCTGGCGGGGAGGTCCCCACTGGATACATTCCATGGCCTTCAGGACACACTGTGAAACCACCTTCTACTCTTCCTCCTCATCTTCCCAGTCTCCTGCTGCCTTGTGGCAAAATGTAACTGTTCTGTTTATATTTGGGGAAGAGGTTGTTTTGTAAAAGAATCTGCAATTTAACCATCTTTAAAGGCTGAGACACATCTGAAGCTCTCCGACCACTCCCCCATCTCCCAGATCTTATAATGTTCTGACACAGGACTGGAGGAAGACAGCCGATGTGTTGATCCCTGCTGGGACCAAGCTCCAAGATGGCAGTCCGTCCTCCTCCAGCTGCAGTTCCGCTTAACTGAAGAACACTTATATTGACATTAGCATTATTAGTCCCAGAAAGAGACCAGCTAAGCAAACTGTGCTTGGTAACACTGCCTGGCAGACAATCATAGGGTACTTGGCTACCTCACCCAGCTACCCACGAGAGGACTTCTGTATGGAAGGAAGAAGACATAAACTTTTATTATTCAGCTTTAAAATGATAATTAGAAAGATAATGAGGAAACATGGAGATTAGAGATATGTTAAGTAAAAAAATTACCCAGCCTATACAATTGTAGCTTTATTGTAGCTATAATCATGTCAATATATATGCATGTGTATATATTTCTGTATGTTTGTATAACTGCACACTATTCACAGAGACTAGAAAGGATTATTCAAAATATACATAAGTATTGTTGGCGGTGGTATAGTGGTGAGCAAAATATACATAATTAGTGAAAACTGGTAAGATTATGGAGAAGGAAGATGGTTTGACTTTGGGGAGGGGGCACAGTGCGATACACAGATCTTTTATCATACATACCTGAAACTTACATGATCCTATTAACAAGTGTCACCCCAATACATTTAACTGAAAAAAATAAAATAAACCTTTCTCTGTTAATGTTGTTGTATTGTCATTATAATACGAAAATGTGATATAAAAAAACCACTTAGTGGTCCCAGGAACACCACCAGAGTCCCTGGGAAACAATTAGTCCATTCCCCTTTCTCACTGCTACCACCGCTTCTCAGACTGAAGACTGAATTCAAGGTAGCGAGGTATCCCTGGGACATCGCTTAGCAATGTCACTGCTTTACCTTTCGAGCTCCTCCCTCTCTCTCTTCTCCTTTTCCTCCTTCTCTCTCTGCTCTCGTGCCAGCCGCCTCTTCTCAGCCAGGAGCCTTGTGGCTTCTTCTGGGTCAGTGGTGCCTGCCGAAGCCTTAGGAGAAGCACTGGCCGTCACAGTAGATGATGGCACTGGGATGGGCACTGGGACGGCCACCGGGACTGGGACTGGGGCTGGGGCTGGGGCCGGGGCCGGGGCCAGGGCCGAGGCTAAGGCTGAGGCTGAGGCTGAGGCTGAGGCTGAGGCTGGAGTGGGGGCTGGGACTGGAGCTGGGGCCGAAGCTGAGGCTGAAGCTGGGGCTGGAGCAGCTGTACAAACAGGTAAAAGGGAAAAAACAATTGGAAACAAACCCAAAGAACAAAACAAAAACTAGTATTCCCCACACCCTAGGCCTAGAATTCATCCTTATAAAAGAAAAGGGGATTTTTATTACAGAGTGTTCTCACAGTTTCACAGTATTCTACGTGTAACCAAGCAACAGATAACAAAAAGCTGCATGTGTGAGACATCGAACAAAGCTGACACTTTTCACCAAATCTTATTTTTATACAAGTTAAATCAGTTAACAACATACGTCTAATGTGTACTAGACATAGAGCTTCACGTTCGGTTCTGTGCGAAGTGAGACCCTGAGTGAAATAAAGGTGAGAGCTTTCATTTGTCTTTGATTACATTCTAAAAATCCTTCTCTTTACTGACTGTGTATTCCTGGAGGACTACAGCTGACCATCCTCAGCATCCATGCCACAAGCCCAGAAGCAGGCTGGGAAGATGACACCAATTGTCCCTTTTGTCTGCCCCCAGCTGGTCCGGGTCTGAAGGGGGAGGAGCCAAGGGTCTGGTACTAGTACACTTTATACATCCCGGGTCTCCACTGTCCGTCCTGATGCCAAGACAGAGGACAGAAACAGAAGTTTTCTGACCTTATTCAGATTCAGGAAAATGACCTAGGGAGCTGGTACAGCAGGGCGTGCCACACAGAGGCACTGCGGTCAAGTGCGATCTGGCACCTGACCATCCCAGACCCTCCTGTCAAGATTTACATTTCTCCTTCTTTACGCTCAGGATGCTCTTTGGCCTTTCTCCTCCTCTCTGCATGCAAACAGACTCCTCCATTCTCTAACAACCCCATTTGTCTTGAGTTGTCAATTCTTTCTTTGCCTCTACCCTTTGTCTTCAAATGAAGTCTAAAGGAGAAAACTTCTGAATAAAGACAATTTTCAACAAGAAATTCTGAATTCCTAGTTCCAAGTAATTTCAGACTTCTAAATAGCATCTGGTTAGCTGGGAAGAGCTGGGAAGAGCTGGGATCCACTGGGTCTTCTGGAAAAAATTCTGACATCTATTGAGGCTAAGCTAGTGGTCCTTAAACTCCAGTATGCACAGGATTAGGGTCATAACTGGCCAGTCTGCGTTTTGTCTGGCCATCCTGCAAGGCAGTCAGCTGGAGAACTGAGTATCTTTTACAGTCCTTGGACCCACCATGGATTCTGATTTAGTGGGTTTGAAGTAGGGCCGGGCTTCTGAAGTTTGAAGCATCATAGATTATGGTGGTTTGAAAACATTTGCACAGATTCTTTGATGATACTCCCTTTTAATAGTGGAGACTACTCCCCTCTATTGGAGTGTGCACCTAGGGACTTGCTTCCAAAGAACAGAATATGACAGAAATTGGGACTTGTGTGGCTTCTGAGATGAAGCATAAAATATATTGTGGATTCCTTGTGATTCTCCTAGATCTCTTGCTCTAGGGGAAGCTGAGAGAGCAAGCAGACAGGTTATGAAGACATCAAGCAACCCAATGGAGGGGTTCACATGTCATGAAACTGAGGCCACCTGCCAACAGACGTGTGTGTGAGCCACCGTCCAACAACCCAGCTACGCTGCTGCCAAATTCTTGACCCAAGATTCTGTGTGATGTAATAACTGTTTGTTGCTACAAACAGTTGCAAACTTACAGGACAACTGTAACACAGCAATAAATAATACAAGTGATTTTGATGCAGGTGCTCTGAACACCACATCTTGTGAAACTAATAAAGGAATCAGAAACCATACTGAATAAATATACTACGGCTCCAACAGTAGACTTTTAGATGTACAATGCTACTCTCTTTATATGTAAGAAAGCTACGCTGAAGGAAAGTTTCCAAAATTAGCCTCAGAATAAAATGTCTAAGTCCTCAATAAGGGGGGGAAAGGTGGGAGGAAAAGGGAGAGAGCAAACAATCCACATTCCATCGCAAGTCAGTTCTTACCAGAGGCAGCCTCTGGTTCACCAGGTGTCCCTTCTTCAAATGTGGCTTCTTCTACCTTCACTAGAGGTGACTTGACCCTTAGTGAGGGCTCACTGGCTACTTTCTGAGGCTCCTTCTCAGGGTCTTTTCTCTCAGGTTCCACTCTGGCTTCTTTCTTGACAGGGCGGATGTTGCCAGGGGATAGAGGCCGGCCCTGGGCAGGGGGACCTTTGACAGATCCAGGAGGCAAGGAGGACGCTGGCCTGGGTGTACCAGGCAAATGAGGAAGGGACTTGGATGGGAGCCTGGGAAACAAACAAACAGCATAAAGAGAAGGGGACTTTCAGAACAGGCTTGCCAGAGCCTTCCTCGAGGCCCCTGTCATGTAACAGTCCCAGAACACCCATGTGAAAAAGAAATGCAGGTATTTAGTCTTTTATGTGGCAAATGCAGAAATATTCACTTTAGAGACCCATTCCATTTCTCTTTTTTTCTTTAAGGAAAAACATTATTCTCTAAGTCAAACCAGACCATATGGGGGGCACAGCGTCCTTTGAGGACAGAGGCCGCTACTTCTCCTGCATGGAACACCCAGTCAGCCCCTCGTATCTCACTCACCACAGTCGGGAGGAAACTGGGGATCTGGCTTTGGGACGAGATGGAGAGAAAGTCCTTCGGAGGCCGGATGTGAGGTGGAAGGGTATGTTCTCTCTCTCCCGTTCTCTTCTATAGGCCTGAGTTCAGAGAAACACAATAATTAGATTTTCTCCATGTGTTGGACAAGCCCACTCAGGTATTCAAACAATGGAGCTATAATCTATCTAAGGACTTTCTAGATATTTTCTAACCTTTCTTATATAACTCCATTCTAGCCCAACAAAAGGCCTGTGTTAGCTTTCAGCCAGACATTATACTGGATGTGTGATTTGGAGTTACATTTATTTTAAAAATTCATTTATACTTTTAGAAAACAACTATGTGACTAAAATTACTGGGAGCAAAATCTCTCATAATCTGGTTTAGTCCATACAAATGTCAAAGTAAAAAAGTCACTTCCAGTTTATTCCCCCAATTTGTAATTAAAATATACTTTTATATCTTTAAATTCCTAGCACTTTTCTGGAATATACTGTAGCTAAATCTTTCTTTCTTTCTAATTTACATATCAGCTATATCAGACTTTAATTCATTTTTTTCTTTATATCAGTGTTATACAAACAGTTGTTCCTCACCTAGTGTCCTGCTCTTGAAAGAAAAGTCAGCTTCAAGGTGAAGAATTTTAACTATTTTTAGTCTCCTTCACTAGGGATGAAATTATAATTTGAGGGCAAGCCCTCCTCTGATTGCCAACTGAGAATTCACCAGAGAGATGACAACTTTCCTGAGTTGAAATGGGCAAAAGGAAACCCAGAGAAGTTTTCTAATTATCTCAAGTCAAGCAAGACAGAAAAAGTGCGCAGGATACAGAAGATTCATTTCAAGCATCTGAAACTCGCCAACGGTGTTCTGGGACGGAAATGGATGCTTGCTGGAGGGACGGACCTATGTGAACACCTGGCAGTCGTCCACTCCGTGGGGCCCTTTCAGGAAAGCAGGCTTTGAGTGGCCAAGGAAAGGGACAGAATGTTATCTAGTCTCAGGGCCAATAAGTTCATAGTGTGCCTTCTCTTCTTTCCTTTTCTGGTCTGGTTCAAGTATCGACTGCCCTCTTCCTTCCCTTTTGTTCCTTTCACTGTCCCTTCTCACTGCTTCTCTCCATTTTCCTTAGTAGCATCCTAGTTGACGGATTGGGCTATGGGCGTGGGGAGTATATCTAAGTGCTAAGTAATACTCAGTGTATTCCAGAATAAAAGAAGAAGTGGAGCAAGAAAGAGCTTCCTAAGCTGCATGGAAGCTCTACATCACTGGAGGCTGCACAACCACTTTTGCTCCAATCTCTGGTCTCAGAGGTTGGGAGGTGGGGCCTTGGAGACCAACTGCAGTCCTCAGGTAACAGAAGCAGCAGCCACCACGTGGGACCCTCCTGGCAGGTGGACAGGTGGTAATTATGCCTCTGGTGGGTCAGTCCCTGGAGAGAAAGGCTCAGGGAGGCTGCAGTTAAGTACCTCAAGTGGCTTTCCCCCCTTTTACTCAAAATAGTTTTTATTTGGCTGAAGTCAAGGAGTGATCTAAATGGGAAAACAAGGGTGATTTGTGATGTGGAGGGTTTAGTGTTGAATTTCATCACCTGTACCTCGATAAGACAGGTAGCAGGGAATGAACCTACGTCTATAAGTCTATGATAGTCTTCTTCTTCTTCTTTTTTAATCCTCAGTGGAGGATGTTCTTTTTATTGCTTTCAGAGAGAGGAAGCATGAGAGACATAGATAAAAACATCGATGTGAGAGAAAAACATCCATTGGCTGCCTTCTTGTATGTGTTCTGACCAGGGATCAAATCCACAACATGACTATGTGTCCTGACCAGGAATTTAACCCACGACCCTTTGACCTATGAGATGATGCTCCAACCAACCAAAGAAGAAGATGGTCATGCTCTTCTTCTTCTTCTTCTTTTTTTAAAGTATAACTTAAGCAATGTTTTCTTTTTCTAAAGCTCAACTTTTAAATTATCTTAAAGAGGTAGGGAGAGCAAGAGGAAAACATTTTGGAAAGATGCTCAATATTTGAGATAATACCCTTTTAGGCAGATAGATATTTTTTATCCTTTCATTGATCTTGTACCCAATCACTTATTTGGGTACCAGATATGTAAAGATGCTCTTGATTCTCATCCTGATCTGACAAAAGAGCCAGCCGTCTGTACAATAATCTTTCTTATTAACACTTTCCACAAGGCTAAGGTGAAACTCCTGTAGTAAACTGCTCATGTCAATTATCTGGACAACCTACCAGCAAGATGAAGACTTTAATTTTACAGTTAGGGTTAAGTACAGAATACAAATAACCCCCAAGGGAGACAATACAGACAGACACCGTCTAGTAGAATCTTTTGTGATGACAGAAATGCTCTAAATCTACAATGTCCAATATGGTAGCCAATAGCTGCATTGGGCTATATGAATTTTAGATATAAATTAATTAAAAATGACATAAAATTAAATATTAATTCAGTCTCACAAAACATAATTCAAGTACTCAATAGTAGCCATTTGAATTTAGATCCAAATGAATTAAAATTACAACTGAAGACAAAATTAAGAAAACAATTTATTTACAACAAAATCAAAATAAACAAAATACTTAAGAATAAATTTAACCAAGGGGGCAGAAGACTTGTTTACTGAAAACTAGAAGATGCTGCCGGAAGAAATTAAGGAAGACACAAATAAATGGGAAGACATCCTGTGTCCACAGACTGGAAGGCTTATTAACATCTAGATGTCAATTCTACCCAAAGCAATCTACAGATTCAAAGCAATCCCTTTCAGAATTCAAAGTTGTTGTTTTTTCCAGAAATAGAAAAATCCATCTTAAGTTCAGATGAAACTTCCAAGGACCCTGACTAACCAAAACAATTTTGAAAAAGAACAAAGTTAGAAATCTTACATGTATTATAAAGCTAAAGGAACCAACACAGTGGTATACCCCAATAACTTAAATTTTAAAAAGTAACAGTGTGGTGCTGGCATAAAGACAGATAAATAGACCAGTGGGATAGAGAGCGAGCCCAGAAATCAACCTTTGTGACTGTGGTCAGAGGACCCTTGACGAGAGCGCCAAGGCCACTCAGTGGGGAAAAGGCAGTCTCTTCAACAACCGGTGCTGGGGGAGGTGGAGATCCACAGCGAATGGATATAGCCAGACCCTTACCAAATACTATATACAAAAATCAACTCAAAATAGATTTAAAGACCTAAATGTAAGACCTTAAACTATGACATTCCTATAAGAAAACCTATATAGGGAAGCTTCAACGATACTGGGTTTGGTAATGAATTGGATGTAACAACAAAAGCACAGGTAGCAAAAGCAAAAATAAACAAATGGGACTACATCAAACTTAAAAACTCCTGTGTAACAAAGAAAACAACAGAGTAGGAAGGCAACCTGCAGAATGGGAAAAAATTATTTGCCCATCATAACATTCAGAGTATATATACAACTTCTACAACTCAACAATGACAAAAAATTAAAATAAAATGAAAGGTTATAAAAGGGTTTGAATAGATATTTTTCCAAAGATGATATACAAATGGCCAAAAAACATGTAAAAAGATGTTCAATATCACTTTATTAGAGAAATGCAAATAAGAACCACAATGAGACATTACCTCACACGCATTAGGATGGCTACTATTAAAAAAATAACAGAAAATAACAAGTGCTGGTGAAGATGTGGAAAAACTGGAATCCTGTGTACTGTTGGTGGACTATAAGTAAAATGGTACAATCACTATAGAAAAGAGCATGACCATTTCTCAAAAAGATAAAAAATAGAATTACATAAGATCCAACAACCTCAATTCTGGGAACATATCCAAAAGAATCAAAAGCAGGATCTTAAAGAGATATTTGCATACCAATATTTATAGTGCTATTCACAACAGCCAAGAGAGAAGCAACTCAAATGCCCATCAACAGATGAACAGATTAACAAAAATGTGGTGTGTATATATATACATATGTATATTTGTATGAGTATGGGTGTGCATGTGTACATACTGACCCTCTCCACAGGAGTATTATTAGCCTTGAAGAATGAAAATCCCGTCATATGCTACAACATGGAAAACACCTTGATGACATTACGCTAAGTGAAATAAGCCAGTTCTAAAAAGACACATACTTTGTGATTCCATTTGTATCTCATTTAGGTACCTGAAGCAGACTAACAACACAGAAAGTAAACTGGTGGTTGCTAGTGCCTGGAGGGAAGAGGAAATGGCGAGTCCGTTTTACAGGTATAGTTTCAGTTTTGCGAGATGTAAAAAGTTTGAAGATTGGCTGCACAGCAGTGTGAATATACTTAACACTACGGAAATGCACACTTTAAAAATGCTTACGATGGTAAATTTTGATAAGTTTTTTTTTTTACTACAATTAAAATTTTTTAAATTACAGTGAATTTAAAATCATTTTGTCAGTCTCTTTAGCCACTTTTCAAGAGCTCAATAGCCATGTGTGTGTGTGGCCAGTTGCTCAGCTAGATTCCGAAGTGCAGCTCTAGGGCAACAGGACTTGTGGAGTAATTTTCTGGCAGTATGTATGTGCCTAAGTAGTTGGTTGTAAAGAGGCGAAAAGAACCCTGAACATTGTGGCTCAGTTGGTTGGGCGTCATCCCACAAAGCTAAAGGTCACCAGTTTGATTCCCGGTCAGGCCACATGGGTTGTGCGTTCAGTCCCTGACTAATAGAACCAATGAGAGGCAGCCAATAGATGTTTCCCTTTCTTTCTCCCTACCTTCCTCTTTCTCTAAAGATAACTAATAAAATATTTTTATAAACAGGTGAAAAGAAGGCCAACAGATCAAATATAAAAAGAGGAAGGCATCACCTTCCGCATCCCCATCAAAAACGAGAAAGTAGAGGTTTTGGATCATGTCATGAAATCCCTCTCATTAAGCTCTCCTCCTTCCCTCCTGGAGTGTTCATTTTTGTTTTTATCAACACTAAGGCTTTTTTTTGTAAATGCTTTGCCTTCCCTGATAAGTACATTTATGTTTGAGGCTAAAGCTGTTCTACTGAACCATGGCTTTTTGTTCATAGCTAGGACCAATACGCTAACGACAAAAAGCCTCCCAGACATCAAGGTTCTCTCACCTTTGGTGTGAAGGGCTGGAGGTCTGCCTCAATTATGAATCAAATACTGATTCCTGAAAGCCTGAAGGGCTTGAAGGGAAACTGCCTGTAGACAAAGCCTTCAAATTCTTACAATCCTCTAAATACCCTCAAGGGTCTAAGTAATCCTTTTAAGTGGGCATCAGATTTATAAATCTGAATTGCTGTTGGAACTTAAAAATTTAAAAAATTACCCCGCCTTTCATTAAATGGGTCCTGCTATTACCATGGGAGAGAGGCAGTGGTATCCTCTGGTTGACTGGCAAATCTGTTAAGACTAATGCAAAATGTCTAAAGACCACAGAGCAATGTCTACATCATTCAAGAGATAGCAAACAACCCACAGTTCAAATCGAAGAAAGAGCCCTGGAGACATACAAGTTACCTCATTGCATTGATAGCATGGTGAAAATTAACGTTAACTCAGTGACTTTGCTAGCAATAAATAACAAGTACAAATTACATTCTTTACTTGCAAAATCTGAGTTTATAATACAGCCCAATAGCCTTATAAGAATTATTTAGTGAGTTACTAATGTTTGTAAAATTCTTTGTCACTATAGGTTAAGATCTGGGTCTTGACAGGGATTAGCTAAGCAGATAAAAATTCTTTATGTTGTTTTCCGTGAACCACATTTAAAGTTCAGCCAGCTTCTGGACATGGTTGGAATAAAAGGCAGCAGAGGTAGCAGTCCAGGCCCACTTCCCCTTCCAAGGTTTTCTACTTTCAGAAATAAAAGTACGCCGGCATTCCACTTATTTGTATGGAGCAGGGTAGTTCAGTCACTCATACAGGATTGAACAAAGAACAGTTTTCACCTTCAAATTCAAATTTTTAGGGGGAGTAAAATCTTCAAGTGGAGAGGAAGTGTGGGGACACTAGCACCCAGCTAACCAGATAGATGGGATGGTGCATACCACCATCTCCCAATCCTGCACCCACATGGCACCTTGGGGTGGTGTCCACCCTACGCAAGAAATAGCACCTGGTGAGACTCGCCTGGCTGCTCCCATCGCTACTCACCACTGTGCCATGGAGAGTCCTCCTCCGAGCAGAGCCATCGGGCGGTGTTACAAAGAGTTTTGTTCGATCCACCGGATTTCTAGAGTGTGCAGCTTTGTAGGACATGATGTTGATGGGGCTGCAAGATGCTGAACGAGGACAAATGGGGATAACTAGGGTGCAGGTGATTGTTTTACACACAAGAGTGCCAGAGGAGCAGTTGAAGGAAAGCCAAAAGCAGGTTCAGGAAAAGGAGTGAAGCAGAGATAGAGAGAAAAGTAGGGAGAAGATGTTATTACCTAAAGGTGTCCAGAACCCTCATACTCAGCTCTCCTCACAACCCTAGTTTGTGGTGTGTCCAAGAGGAAGGTGTGTCCAAATGAAAAATCCAGAATACATAAGCTCTTTGGTTATTTAAACACTGATTAAAGATATAGATGTAATCCAATAGTTACGGAAACCAATGGCCTTATATGTCTATAAACTGATGGTTCTGGTAAAATGCTATACTAGTAGTAGATCATTTTTAGAGAAGGACTGCTTTATAATCAGATTTTCTCCTAATTAGCTATAAGATTGAACAAAAGGTGGAAAGATAGGAAGCAAGCAAGCAGGCAAGCAACTATTTCAGGAGCCAAGTTCAACAGCATGTGGTAAAACAGCAACTGAATTTTTAAAATGTTAAATGACCAAGTCTTACCAGGTGTTAAGACTTGTTACAAGGATAACTAATAATTTCTAGCAGAAAAATTCTATAAATGTTTTATCTATTTAAACCTAGAAGCAAATTGAATGCATACTTCTAGGTTTTCTTAAAAGCCAAAACTTTTCAAGATTCCTAACAAGCTGCAATAGGACGTATGGGGAAATAGGATGTCATCGTTTAAAACAGTGAATAGAACATAAATATGTTAGAATTGCCAAAAATAAAGTGGAATCATGAATAGCTTTTATAATTTTACTCAAGATGGAACATTTTTTTGAAGTACCACAAAGTTTCTGACCATTCACCTTCAAAGGAACTCTGTCATTAATCAAGTGATTTCGAGCAACAATGGTTTAAAGACGTTCATACAATCAATACTGCACAGATATCTCAGTGTGGGCACTGAGGCTCCAGAGCTCATTGTCAGATCTCATCCAGAAATCTTGTCTTCCAGCAAAAAAAAAAAAAAGAGACAATTAAACATGACCACTGAGGAGAATCCTATGTATTTGGATGATTGTAGAATTCTTTTATCCAACTCCAGCCATAGTAGCAACCCTTCAAAGAGGTCACTATGGCTGATGACTAGAAGAGTATTAATACATTTAAAACTCATAAGTTTATAAGACAAACTTGGAATAACCTTAATTTCAGAATTAAAAAATATTCGTTATTTTGGTTTAATCTATAGATAGGAAGTAGGTCAGATTATATCTTTATTCACATGCTCTGTTTCATCAAAGGCCTGGCAGTACTTCTGATTATCCACAGTTAAGGCAGTAAATAGGCTGGAAACTGCATTCTCTTTTCCCATCATCTGAAAACAGAGCTCTATTTCTTCAGGATAAACAAAAATATTTTACTGTCCCTCAGTTCTCCTTAAGAGAATATGCATGTCTTACTTGGGAGCTGACATAAAGCTTTGTTTCAGATCTTAATGATGAAGGAAGATTCCTTTGTATTGTGAGAAAGGGGGACTTTCTGTCGTTGGGCTTGCTGTGTGCACAAGGGGAAATAATTTGAAAATCAGTTTCTCATGCGCCATAGCGAAACATTTCCCAAACAAGAAAGGAGTCCATGAATGCAAAACTCTTCCAAGCCAATCAAGTACACTTAGAGAATAACATCCTGGCACAGGGCACTTCTGTGGGATTAATGACCAGGAGAAGCACACATTGCCCAGGGCACAACCAGAGGCCGTTAACCTTGCTGGATATCAAGAAACTCTGGGAACAGCCCTGCTCTGAGGCCGCGGTCTGACACTGAGAGGAGAAAGCACTCTTCTCCTCTGGTGAAACCCAGTCATTTCAGGGGGTGTCTATGGAGCATTTCGGGGGCCACCCTGGACGTAAGCCAATCTCGTCATGCCTCCGATTTATTCTTTATTAAGGCGCTGGGCTAACATTAATCAAAGGATGAAAATATTTTAAACCTATCAGGGTAGTCTATACTAAAAGCCTCAAATTTAATTGTTCGAGGAACACTGTCTGGCTAAAATACACATTATAAATTCCTTCTAGGGGTATTATATTTCATTGTTGTTCTGAATAGCAACTACTTGAAAAAACCTGAAACCTTTAAATAAAATTATTCTCATACTCTTGTCCTTCTGAAGAAATAGTAAGAGCAATATAGAGGTATCTTTTTCCTTCCCAGAGTGCCCTCCTTATCCCAAAGTAGTTCTATTAAACATAAAAATTCTCTTACGGAAAAGTCTTCCACAATACCTATCTGTATTTCCTCTGTAACTCGGTAGCAAGCACACCTTAATTAAATCATTCAAGATTTTTTATATGAAATGATGGGTGCTGAGAAGACACTGCAGTTCAAATGGTTGGAGTGTAGCACAGAGAACAGACATATTACAAAATAGAATAATAATACTATTAATAATACTATTAATGTAATGCCTATTACATGCAGGTACCATTCTAAGTGTTCTACATGTATTAACTAATTTAATCCTGAGCTCTAAAAATCACATGTATTTTACATGTATTTTTTAAAATGGGCATGGGAAAGTCAACCCAAAGCAGTAGCCCTGAATGAGATTCTGATTTCCAGTTCTCAAATGGTCTTATTGCTTGTTCTGAGTTTGCAATCATTGAATGTCTTAGGGATGACTGTTCTGATCTGCTATTGTAACTCTGGCTCTGGATGTGGGTCATCCTCTTGCCAATGGCAATCGGGTATAAGATGAACTCAAGGGACAACACTAAAATGGGAAGACAAGAAAGAAAAATCTACAAGAGAAGATGGAAAGTGTTTTTGAAAAGATAATGTAAGAGATGTTTACATATAATTTCAAATGGAAAATTTAAAAAAACCAACAGTTTTGGCTCATTAAACATAAGCTGTATCGATGCAATTTAACAGGTAACAATGATCTAAGGAATGCATTAATAAAACAGGCAACTCAAGGAAAGGTTATGCATTGCTTCACACTAAAAGTAAATTACAGAAACGCATCAATGTACGGCAAAGAGAATGGAAGAGTGGCAAAGTAAAGAGGAGCCAATTAGGAGGTAAAGAGCACCTGATTGAGCACAACAATGAAGAAGGAAGGTGGGAAGATGAGCAGGTAGAATGGGTGGAAAATGAGGAAATGGTGTTGGAAAAGACTAGAGGGAGAGTGAAAGAAGTGACATAAGTTAGTGATGACAGAAACAGCAAAAAGACAACTTTCTAGCTGTGAGGCAGTCTTTTAGTATGAAAACATACAATATGGAGATTCATAAGCATGACAGCCACCAACTATTATTTAGGTCCTATGAAACAGAACAGAAAAGCAGTTTTAAAGGTTCTTCAATTAGCTGGACATAAAGAAAAACTTCCACTACTTGTTTAAAACTGCGATTAGTGGGCATAAAAAAAAACTATCTTGAAATAGGCTGTACTCTCTCCTTCTGAAAAATCTCAGATGCAGTATGACAGCTGACAAGATTACTTTACAGAAAACACGGAACACTGTGGTCCAGCTAGTTGAATGAGCAGTTGTACACAGAGCGCCACACAAGGTGCTGAGGATGGAGGGGGAGCTCGTTTAAGGTCCCGTCCACTGATTTTCTAAGTGGCTCTGGTGTAAGTCACTTTTTGCCACTGGGTTCCTCAGCAGGTAGTGGGGATGCCTGTATGTACTTTTTAAATTAAGTCCCAGGGTACTGTGAGAATTAGTGTTGACATCAGCTCATTGGGTACCATAGATGAAAGACACCGTAAACTCAACAATTATTATTTGTAAAAAAGCTAATGAACGTGAAGAGGCTTGTAGAGGCAAAGTGTTTTTTAAAGGGAGCTTTGTGAAGAGGCCATGCAATTTCTCAAGGGTCAAAGATGAGGGCTAGTAGACTGGTTATATAGCTGTCCTAGTTGTACCCAAAGATACTGGGAAAACCCAAATCAGCTCACACGAGGTGTTGCCAAAGGCCTGATATGTATCTTTTTTCCAGCCAGATACATTACATTGGCTCATTCAGGCACATTTTGCATTTCAAAGGAGTAGATGAGCTATAACAAATTACAATAACCAGTACAAGCACATTTTACATACTAAATTTTTAAATTATGTAACAAATAAGAACACTATAACTGGCCTTCTCCACCAGTCTCAGAGTTTGGGAAGGGTACTCTTCCTAGGTTACATGCATGCAAAAGACTGGTATGGGGAGGGAGAGTAGCCGCATCATGAAACTCTATGCTTAAATCGGCTTGTACTTTAGTTTACCCCAAGTCCACATATTGTTATATTAAATTATTTCTGCCTCTGAGCATCAGCTTAGCTGCAGGGACAGAAAGAAAGGTAGGGAAGGGATAGGTTTTTCTGGAACTCTCATGAACACACACAAGTATCAGAAGCCCATGATCACAGGGAGGGGCATCTTTTGTCTGCTTGGCATCTGGTGTCCAGATAAGATGTTAAGAGGAGACAATGTCAGGGGCATGAAACCAACACCAACAGACATTTCCAAAGCCGGTCCACCCAGAGGAGAGAGAGGTACGCGCTGCGAAAAACGGAGATGTGATGAGATGAATACTGGAGGCTCAGAGAGGCTTCAGAAGGAGGGCTTTATCTCACCAGGAAAGTTTCACCTTGACAGTTTTACCTGTATCTCCAGACAAGGCAGCTGTGCTTTTACTTCTGGCCAGGAACGAATGTGTGGGCGTCAGCAGTCTGTTAACAACGCTGCTCTCCCATGGGCTGAGCTGCAGGCGGCGAGCTAAACGTCACCACATAAGCAAGATGTTAGAAGCATTCTTTCCAGGGGCAAGAGGGCACAGAGTATCACACCTATCGCTTCCACATGCCATCCCTTCGAGACAGACCAGGCTCTCCAGTGAGGACAGCTGGTGAAGAGTCAGGGTGATGGGAACCCTGCCCGAAGGAGCAGCTATTCTATAGCATTGCCTTTCTTGAAATGTTAAGTTTGGGGACGTCTCTATATTAGTTTTATGGAGGCAGATTTTGCTAACACTGTCCTTTAGCAGTCAACAGGTAACAAAACAGAAATGGTATTTCCACTACAGGTTTGGCATATATTGTTGACTGCAGTCATACATATCTGCCATCTGCTAAAGGGCTTCCTAAGTACCCTGAATAACCAACTCCAGCAAAGTCTATGGAAGCTTAACGCAATACTGGAATTACAAGGAAATGAAGATAGAAAGGGTCTCCATTACATTTTGATAGATCTCCATGAATTGTTACTTGGGCAATTAGGAGGAAATTACAATAGATACAAAAAAATGAAAGAGGACTCATGCACAATTCTGTCTAGAATTTCCTTTTGATTTTTCCTTTTAGCAAGCCAGGTTCTTTCAGGTTCCCATTTGGCAACAACATACAATTTTGGGGGGGAGGATGAAGATAAAGTTGAAGCATGATTAAATTAAACAGAAAAACCAAAATCCAATATAAATATAAATTGGAGATTACTAGTTGGTATGAGAAGAATCCAGAAAGTAAATTTAAACGAATGCAATGATAGTATGGTCTCGAATTATACTGGGGCTTGGCAAGTGCATGGTTAAGAAATGCATGCCAGTTATTAATTCCTTTGTATCAGCCTCCAGTGATGACCCATGAAAACGTAGAAGCTACATTTTCCAAAAATACCAGGGAGAAAGTTTGCAAATATCACTAGAGTAAAGTAATAACATAGCTTTATTTTAGAACACATTTCCAAGCCACTGGTAAAAGACTTAAAAACTGTCTAAACCTAAAAAACAAACAAATAAACAAACAAACAAAAACTGTGTAAACCCGACAGGCCATAAACACCAGGTTCTGTTCCTCACCATACACACCAGATACGAGTTTGTTTGCCCCTGGAGCAGTTGTTCTCATAGCAATCTTTTACATGCCATATTTTAAAAGAATGACATTTATAATCTAGGAAAGTAGTTTTGGTTAATAGAAGCCATCCAATGTTAAAGGTTATAGAAAATATTTGCTCCTATTTGTAAGAGGTACTAGCTTTCAATAAGAACCTTAATTGTCTGACTTCATCATAAAAGAGTGGCTATGTTGGTCAAGGCTCTGGTGAATTCAAGAATGAGTGAATTGTTTATTAGATTTTTCTGGTTTTTAGCAGAGCCTTCACAGTTAAATTAAATCTTATCTGACAGTAGGACATTCATAAAAAATCTGTAATAAAAACTAATCTAATGTTGCACAGGTAGTATAACATACACTGGGAAAAGTCCTGATTAGCAACTAGAGGATGGCAGTGTGTGTGTTGTATATCAACAGCAAAAATAATGTAATCTAAAATTACAATACATTTACAGAAGAAGATCAGCGGGGAACGTGATTAGTATTAAATGGAAATCTTCAACAGAACTATATTTTTAGTAGGTAAGAAAGGGAAGAAGAAAAGAATGCTTCCTTTTTTATATAAAACAAGCTCTGTAGAGTGACTGGCTTAGAACTATAGAGGTGGTTTATCATTGACAAGACATGTCTTCCCCCTGCCTTTACTAAGAAGTTCAGTTACTTTATTTCTGTGTGTCTTCAAGGCATCAACCAATGAATTTGCCTCAGATGAAGATCATTAAAAACCCTCTTTGTCTTGCGTTTAAGACATATCCAAAGAGATGTGTTTTAAAGCTCTGACCTGTGAATGAAAGATTTGCTAACAGAGCCATGTTTCACTCCTGCCACTTTCATAACTATGCTCTGAGCAGGAGAGACACAGATCTCTTCCCTGGGTAACTTTTCAGCAAAGGTTAAGACAGGAGAGTGTTTTGTTACCTTATTTTTAAATTTAACTATTTTGTTTTATCTTATCTTACTTCACTTTTTCATCTAAAGGGGCCTGATTTTAAGACAATCAGCTCCAGAAGGAAGAGATATTAATTCTCATGAAACAAGCCTACAGTATTGATCCTGTTTGGATCCTTAAAAATGCGATATTGTCAATTCTCATAATAGACAATCCAGACAAGAGGAGGCAACCAAACAAGCTCCATATTTGCACTACCTCATTCCCCAGGAGCAGGGCACAGCTAGTCCCAGATGACAGAGAAACCAGGCAAGGTCCTGATTTTCCGTTAGACATAGAAAACGAAATGTTCCATTTCTTAAAATGATGGCAATTATTTCAAATTAAAATGAGCGCAAAACCCCCTGCTCAGGTCAAGCAGAACATGCCCATGGGCGGTATTCAGTTTGAGGTCCCCCACACCTTGTCCTCTGTGCTAGATTCTAGGAAAAAATGTACGGACTGATTTTAAGCAAAGAATAGTGACTTCCTTCTTACTTTTTTCAAACTCCTTATTATTTGTCCTTGAGGAAAAAGCTGGTTAAGCAGGTAGCTTAAATTAATAAGAAATACATGTTGTTAATGAAAAAAAATGTCCAGGGGCAATATCCTTCCTGTTGCAGCAATTATAGAAATCTTTGGTAGTCAGAGGTTTGCTGTTAACTCAGCTTGTTTTATCAGCCTCTGTGAAACTATATTCCGGTGCGATAATCAAACTCTTTAAAAACTGGTAGGTCTTGAGCGCACAGCTAATGGATGCCACTCATTAGCCCTGGGGGCCCTGGGGAAGCACAGCTTGGGGAAGTGGATACTTACCAACTGGTATGGAAATAGTTCTGTATTTTTAGTAACCAGTAGAGCAGTCCAGCTCTACCTTGAAAGTGTCAGAGTTGCCGATTTAATATCAGCCCTAACACCTGTGCTGTGAGGCTCTGCACTCAAACAATCTAGCAATGGTATATGGCCTTTAACAGACTTGACTGTAAAAGCCTCTACTTTAGTCATTTATTTATTTATTTTCGTAAGATTTTATTTATTTATATTTTTAAACAGAGAGGAGGGGAGGGAGAAAGAGAGGGACAGACACATCAATGTGTGGTTGCCTCTTACTCATCCCTTACTGAGGACCCGGACCACAACCCAGGCATGTGCCCGGACTGGGAATAGAACCTGTGACCCTTTGTTTCACAGGCCCGCACTCAATCAATCCATTAAGCCACACCAGCCAGGGCTACTTTGATAACTTAATAAAAAATGCTTCTTAATTTGATGACAAAGAATAACCAACTTTTTAAAAATAGTAGAAAAGGAAATGAAATAACTAAACTACATACACTTCTAAATTAGAGAAATTCAAATTTAGAAGAATTTCAATTCTCTTTAAAAGACTTAGCTTTCTCACTGTCCTCCTGAGGGTTTTGCTTAACTTAAAAGAAAAATTGCTTCGCAGATGTATAGGAACTCCTGGATGAACCAAATCTTCCTTTCCAGGTCAACCTTGCGTATTAGACCCAGAAACTTTTGATAAATGGGAAGAAAAGGAGAACTCTCCAATTTCATGCTCTCCCTCCTATCCTATTATCAGCTTGGTATTCAATTTTATAGGCCTGTACCATGATTCAAGGGGCAGTTTCCTGGCCCCAGCTATGAACCGATTATTGAGCTTCCCTGGACCCGTAACCTTACCCAAAGGAAGAAGGCAGAGTCAGGGCTGACCTAAGGAACAGCATCTGTGAGGTACTGTAAAAGTGCTGTAAGATCCCGACTATCGCTTGTCTAGATCCAGATTAACAAAAGTGTGAAATTCAAGTGCTGAAGAGAAGATGAATAGACAGCTGCAAGAATAGCATTCACGTGCTACATTTTACATTACATTAAGGGAATGAGTTTGAAAAGGGAGGCTATTTATGAGAGAAATTTTAATTCATAAAATGTTTCTCTAACATATAAAAGGCTTCTAATTTCTAACATGTCTAATAGGAATTTAGACAAATTAGGTTAAAAAAAAGGAATAGTGTAAGTTAAAAGGCAAGAATAAGAAGTCATTCAAACATTTACTGCATTAAGAGATTAGTTATAAAACAGCATCAGCATATATCATATTGTACATGACACCATAATTTTTATACAATATAAAATATATAAATACATATACATACATACAGAACATGCACACATTACATTCTTTTCAAGATTATAAACACTGAACATTTCCCAATTGGTTTCTTAATAAAGTATTTAAAGTAACCACAACTTGTTATTTTTAAAGAGTATGTAATTTTATATTGCACAATAATCTGTTTTTTTAATTTAAAGTCATTTTAGTTATGTAAAACAAGTAGTGTATCTTAAAAGCTTGGTTTCCATACCATGATATATAAATATAGAAAATAAAACTTTAAGAAATAATAACATTCATGTACTGTAAATCCGTGGGATGACTAAAACTAAAAATTTAAATGTTAATTGGAGGGCTACAATTATTAAAATTTTTAGAAGGCTTCACTGATGATATTCTTGAAGTTAGGCCAATTTCCTTAAGAGTAAATGAATAGAAACCAAAAGAACCAGTCACACAAAGAAAAGCAGCAAGAAAGTTTTGGTTAAATGAAAAATAAATTAGCAAAAAAGAAATCTAACAAACATGAATCAATTAAAAAGTATTTTTTTAGAAAGTCAACGCCTATATTTCCCAATGTACAGATGAAAAGTCAAAGACAATATGATTGAATAAATGTTCATAACACAGATTATTTGCATGTTGGTGGATAAGTGGGTGATTTCTGGAGCTGTAACTCAGTTACTAAAGAGTCGAGAGAAGCACCGCTTTCATCACTGCTAAGTGCAATCATTCAGCCAAGTTCTAAAATGAGAAATGTTCTTGTCGCAAGGCAAATGCTGCTCAGCCACTTATTGCTTTTTTACTCTGAAGTTTTTTTCTTCCTATTTAAGAAACGTAGGGAAAGCAACTTCAGATGCTTATTTTTATCTGTAAACATCCAGAAAAAAAAGCATTAATAGAATAACAGAACACTTTTTTTGGTTTCCTTTTGACTGTACCTCTATCTGGAGAATTTAGTAAAGTTGCAGATGAAGAGGAGAGCCGCTTGCTAATGACCGGATCAACATGTTTCGAAAGATTCATGGTGGAAACTGACCTCCTGTCTGGATCTAAAACAAATGGAGATAATGCTAATTGACAGCCAGCATGCAGGATTGCAATGTCCTAGTTCGCCGATGGGAGGAAAAACTAGGATTGGATGCTTTCAGCTCTATCACCAGATCTTTCATAATAGCACAGTTTTCTCAGTGGAAATTTTAAAGGTAACTTCAAGGCTAGAAATAAAATTCATTTTTCTCAGGATCAATAAACATGGAGCACACTCATCTGTCAGCCAGAAAAATTCAAGCATAGTATTATAATAAGACAAATGAATGGAGTCCAGTGCAGATCAACTCAAACAATGGAGGTGAATTGTGAAGCAAAGAGGGGTCCATAAACCGAAGAGCCTTGGTAATTTCCCAAAGCAGAACCAACGGGGTAGAAAAGCACTGATAAAACAGAATGCAAGCACAAGAAGACAAAGAACACCAGGTTCAGTGTGTTTGCTGATACCTGTGCTTGCAGATCATTTTACCCAGGGCATGAAAGCTCATTGCAGAACAACAGATTAGCAAGGAAGAAAGAGGAGGAAGCACTGTCCGTGTGGAAAGGACGGCCACCATAGCATTCCTTTTCTAAGTCTACTAGTAATCACGTCTGCAAGCCTGTAACACAGGGTCTACTTTGGTTTACAAATGTAGAGATTGCCCACAAACTTGCCTGACAAAACTGACAGTAATATAAAGAAAATCAGGATTCTTTCTCTTTAAGCTTATTAACAATATTGTTCATCCTGCAGTTGAGTAATTTTAGAGCAGTTCTTAAAGTCCAAGTCAGAAGAGAAATGGCAGACATTTAAAAGGCAAAAGTCAACTCTGTTAGTTTGCTGTCTGTACAGTGGAACCAACTTGTAGCAGTCCTCTTTAGCATAAATCATGTTCCCTGAATAAAACTGTGTACAATGAAAGTCTAAAAATTTCACATTTATTGGGAGGCGGGCAGATGGTCTGACGTATAATAGCTGAAGACAATGGGGTTTTGCTGTATTTTGTTTTATTTTCTATTGTTCATTTCTCCTTATGCTAAAAACAAACCAAAGTATTCCTTGTGGGAGAAATGATTTCAAAATCTAGTTGCCATTGGTCTAACTACCCTTGGTGGTGAAAATTTTGTAGTCAACTCCACACAGAATAACTGTGGTCATTATTTACAGCGAACAGGGGAGAAGCATGTCTTTCGCCAGCATCAGATAGATATTTCCAACTGCTGACTCGTTTTATGGTTAAAGCATTTCATTATTTAAAAACAACCCAAACATCATTTCTGTGGCTCAAAATATACTTAAATGATGAGCCCTTAGGGCATTCCTAAAATAAAGAAAAATTAAGGGTAAAATATCCAAAGGTACACCTTAATCACGAAGTGTGAGGTTCGAGGGCACAAGGAAGGATAGTGGAAGTCACTTTCAGGTGATTTTATAGCAGTGCCTTTTCTGACATTGCTTTATAAGCTCTAAACAGAGAAAAATTGTGTCGACATGCAGGCCTGTCCTGCATGGTTAAAATTATGGAGGTATGACATGTATTTATTATATTACTTTATACGTACCACAGCAATTTTTTATCGCCTCTTGTTCTCACTGAACAAAACACAAATTTATGAAAGGATTTTTGAAGAATTGGCTTAAACATTATAAAGTTTTGCAAACCAATGCTAGTCGATGTACAAGATTTAATCTGGATTAAATTTCATTTCTAGGACCTGTTCGTTGGTCAGGAAACACTAGCTGAACACCCACCACGAGTGAGGCACTTTCTGTAGTAAGGAGTATTCAAAATGAGGAAGATCTGGTCCCTGCTCTCAAGATCACAGCACATCATGTTGACCATTGAAAACTTTGGTGTATTCCCCTTATTCCCAAACTTCTCTGTTCTAGTATAGCAGCAGGTTTCTCTAATTCACAGCCCTTATAAAAATGGACTTTATCCAACATTTTACTCTCTTGCTCTGAGTGGCAATACTAAAGGTCATACACTGAACTCTGACTATGAAAGAGAATTAAAGGTAAGTTACCTTATTTCCCCTCAAACACACTGGACAATCTGTTACAGATCATCTGAGTATATATCTTCCATATGTATGTAAAACAAAGCCAAGTGAAAGAAAAATCAGCCAGGTTATAAAAATATACACCATGACAACTTTCTTGCATGGAACACATGGAAAAGTGTCCCTGGAGTGAAATATCCACAATGACCCTAATGATCATAGATCTGATATGTGCCCCACCAAATACCACTGGTGGTGAAGAACCGGGAAAGAAAAACGCTTTTGATTTTGGTTCACTATCATAGAAAAGTAAACTGTGGCAATATGCTTTTGCATTGTTCAAAATGAAGGGGTTCTAGAATAACCCTGAAAGCTAGGAAGATAGAGAATAAAGCTATCATTACCATGAATGATAGGAGGATAGAGAATAGAGAAAACAAACAAAAAAATCAATAACATTTAGATTAAAAGTACAAGCAACAACATCAGTATGGAATGGGGTTAGGGCGGAGAAACCAAACTGGATGTACTTTGATCCGAGGTCATTTATTGGATAAAAAAAATTTTTTTTAAGTTTTATCTAAAATGATCATTTAAGGAAAAATTAGACATATCCCATGTAATTATTTCAATAGCTTTAAGTCACCTGAGTTTGTACTCACACTTAAGAAATACTGTGCTTTATCCCAGATCTGGGTCTATGCAATAGGACATCAAGCAAGCATTATGACTAGGGTGGCGATGGTCCAGCTAGTGATGAACTCTGGCCCTAGGTCTGAGGTGCTAGCTACAGGTGAGGCACTCAGCAATCACAGGGACGTCTGTACCAGATGTTCTAGTACCACCAAAAGCTGTGAAGGGGTGGTCCAGGCCTGCTAAATCGAGAAAGGTGAATGATGACTCAACAAAACCACCTGGGGACAGAATGTAAGACAATGATTTTTCAAAAAGTAAATTAAAAAAATGTTATTTGACTCACACAAATGAATAAGAAGTGACACACTATATAAAATTCAAGGTATACTGAATTTACAGTACAAAAATAAAGCCTTTTGCTAATTCCAAATTTCAGTATTTTTATGTCCATTTAAAAACAAGGGGATAGCTTAGACATCTACTACTATTTGTAGCTTCAAAGCCTGAACTTTCTCTTATGGGACATCAGTGTTTGCATACACTTTAGGGTCAGAAGACATTTGATCAGTCATTTTCACTATGATTCTTTTAGAGTAAAAGAGAAAACTGGTGAGCCAATTTCATAATTCTGAAACCCTATGTAAATGAATTAAAACAGTGTAGAGTTGAAACTAGCATGTTTACGGGGAGGCATTGCATAGATTTTCCTCTCTTCAAGGACTTTGGAACAAATGAGAAAAGCAGTCTATGTGAAGGGAGAGAACCTTCTTACCTCCATCACCCTCTTATCCTCAAACAGTAGAAGCATCATTTAATTGTAGTTTAATTATTTCAGCAGGATTTTTGTCTTGCAAAATATAGACTTAGAAAAAAAGAAGCAACTGCACTTTTGCCATCCAGCAAAGAAAAACAGAGACTGTGAAAGTGGTCACTGCCTGTTCACCTGTGCTGTGCATGCTGGGGCTCCCATGGAGAGGGCCTCCCCACGACCACCGGTTATGCTTCTGCTTTGGCTTCTGGCTCCTTTCCATCGTGCGCCGTACAACAGCTTCATGGCGTTCCTTAAACAGAATGGAGCAGCTGATGATTAGATTCAACCTGGTTGCTTGAGGCTTCTTAAACTTAAAAGGCAGAGTGGAGTAAGAGAGAGTACTTGACCTCAGTACTCTATTAGGAAATAGATTAGGATACCTAATAGTTGGATACCAGGGGTGTCCAACCTGCGGCCTGCAGGTCGCATGTGGCACTGGATGGCTAAGAATGCGGCCCAAAACAAAATCATAAACTTACTTATGACCTTTTTTCTGCTCATCAGGTTTAAGTTAGGCTTTGTGTATTTAATGTGTGGCCCAAAACAATTCTTTCACTGTAGCCCAGAGATCCCTGGTTATCTTAAGGTGAGAATATACCACCTGGGACGGTTACTGAAATCACTAGGAACCAGCTGAAAAAGCCTGTTGCATACAGTAGGTACCTAAATAAATGATCTTCATTATTGCTACTGGGAATGTGATGCTTTCACAGTAGTGCAGGTCTCAGCTTACACAGGTGCTAATAAGCTCATGGGGTCCCCTACCTAAACAATGGAATTTAGAATCTGAGGGCGTGGGTCATCCTGACTCCACAACTTCCTGGGTTGCATGACCTTGAATCTTAACTATTCAGAGTCTAAGTTTCCATTTTTGCCAAGATTCAAGGGCTGAATAGGGTTAATGAGGCGATCCAGTGTGTGAAAATGTTTGCTGGTTGTAAAGCCCTACAGAAATCCAGTGACGTGGAGTGCTCTTGATACTTCAGTGTACTTTAACTGAACGTAGATAAGTTATAGGTCTAGACCAGAGAAAATGGGCATTTAAAGTTTCCGGGGCAATAAGAGCAATCACATCATCCTGTACGTGGCTTCCACACCCAACCTCCCTCCACCCCGGGACCATCTGTCCAGTTGCTTACTCTGAAACTATTTTTCCATGTGTCTCAGCACCTAAGCGGAAAGTTTCACAGCAAGTCTGCTGCGTTTCTGCTGTGCACACGCCTCCCCCCACCTCCCGCCCACCTCCTGAGCCTTACTTTGTCCTCCTCCAGCCGCTGCCTTCGCTTTTCCTCCACGGCAGCCCTCCTCCGCTCTTCCTTCAGCCTCTGCTCTTCCAACTTCTTCCTTTTCTCCTCCAGGTGCTTTTCGTAGTGCTGTCTGGCTCGCTCTTCTTTTTCTAACCAGATTATTTCTCTTGCAGCTTTAGGAGAAAAGATGAGGCAAATCAAACACAGGCAGGCTCAAAACTTGAACAGTTAGGGCTGTGTAAGTGGCGTGCATTGGACACACATGGGTTCTTTGGCTTTGTAGTAACCGAGTCTGGCCTTTGCTTTCCTCAAATATTCAGGGGAAAAAAGTTACTACTGTTAATTTTTAGCATTATTTAATATACTAACAATGAGGGTGAAAAAGATGCACTGAATTCTACTCTTTGGGAACCCCCACTGTCCTCTAGTTTGATATATTATTGCTGCAGAAGAAGGCATATATCACATGTTCTGCTGTCAATTCTGATATTGATATGATGCCCTAAAAACCAAGAGCACTATCTGTCTCCCTCTTTTTAAAAAACTGTGATGTTCTTTAGATAGAAAATGTGGCTACATTTGTTTGAACACAGCACTGGTTCTTTGACAGAATTAAAATGCTTGGAAGAAAATCCCAAAGACGGATGGCTGGTAAAAGGTGTGTTGGATGCCTCACTGGCATGGCAGGCTGAGTCAGGTGAGCCATGAGAGGGGCCGAATAAGCAGGCGCTTTTGTGCCTGAAGAACTCAAACCTGGTTAGACAAGACAGTACCACAAATCGAATGGAAATACACAGTCCACAAAATAGCGTTTGGTGACGAAATGTTTCTTTTCTTCTTTACACATACATGTTCCTTCCTTCTTTTAGGGGAAAATGTACAAAACTAATTTTTTAATATGGTGCTCCCTTTAGATGTGATAATTAAACATATCTTTAAGCCGAGTTGTTAACACTGTAGGCCAAAGTGTCCAAAGTTTGAAGCAGAAACTCTGAGGATGCTACACTGCATACAAATTAAAATGTTACATTTTAAAAGAAAAAAGTAGAAATTCAGAACATTTCAGTTTGCTCTAAATATTTAATATTAAACATGCTGCATTTCTGCTACCACTAAGTCTTTCCAAAGCTATTCATTTCGGGAGACAAATCTCCTGCAAGGGATTTGAGATTTGAATTGAGTTTACTTTCATGTAAGGAAAAAAACAAGGACATGGACCAATTCAAGATGAGTTTGTCCTGCGACATCACTGAGGGTGGCGAACAGAGGGAACTGGGGACTGGCATAGGAGATGCTGCGTTCTTCCAGCAACTCTGCCTGGACGGGCAGGTGAGACCTTGGACCGGGTCATTCGGATTTAGTGTTTCCTCTTGCCTAAATGTTGAAAAAAATCTATCTTTAAGATTCTTTCCAATTTCGAAAGCCACTGATTCTAAAGAAATTCTCAGGCCCAAGTTAAAAATTGGCTTTAATAAAAGCACATACTAGTATGTACTCACTAAATATTTACTGAAAGAGTGAATATTTACTGTGAGAGTAGTTTTCTGCACTTAGTAAACTTCCAATACTACTAGTTGTGACTGCCATCTTCGCCACTGTCATCACTAACATGATTTCAGTTCAGAAAATGAAATGTGCTTCTGCAGGCTGTGTGATCTCAACAGGGCTAGACGTTACTACAGTTATCATTACTTTTACCCCAAGTAATCTTTTAAAGGAAGAACAAACTCTTTTTGAGTGCCACTTCCATTCTTCTACCAGGAAGTCAAGATCCTACTGCAGAGCCTTCTTTAAACAATTGCCTTTTTTTAAACCGCTTTACACAGAATACGCAAACAATGATGAAGTAAGCAAATAACACTTTCATATTATTGCAGAGTATACTGATAAGCGCGATGGTTATTACCAAGCACAGATCATGTAAACTTTTTTAAATTGAAGGATAACACGTATTATTTCAACATTTTAATAGGAATCAAAAGTTAATTTATTCTAAGAGGTTTAGTTACTTAAAATATTTCCTAAGGATGACAGATAATGCGAAAGCCTTAAATCATTAAAAAATGACACTTTCAAACACAGGAAAAAATCAACAACTGCTATGGACTGAACCGTGCCCACCCCTTCAGTCCCATTCTTATGTTGAGGCCCTGCTACTCAATGAACTTATTTGGAGACAGGGCTTGTAGAAGGCGATCATGGTGAAATAATGTCATAAGGGTAGGGCCCTACTTCAACAGCATTAGAGTCGTTATAAGCAGGGACACCAGAGAGCTGTCTCCCCGCCTCTCTTCATGCTCAGATGCTCATGTGAGAACAAAGCCGCCTTCTGCAAGCCAGGAAGAGAGCTTGCATCAGAAAGTGAATGCTGCCGGAAACTTGATCCCGAACTTCCTAATCTCCAGAACTGTGAGAAAGTAAATTTCTGTTGTTTAAGCACCCCAGTCTATGGTATTTTGTTATGGCAACCTGCGCAGACAACTCATTCAGGATTTAAATCATTAACAATCACTCATTTCATAGAGGCAGTTCTAGAAAGTATAATAGCATGTTCAAAAAAGGGACTGTGTTGGACATTGTTAACCTTTACTCATGTGATATTAAAAATTTCCCCTGGACTCTGGGCCCAAAGTATACAATGAAATGAAAATCCACTGTAGCCCTTAAAATACTGGACATTAACAAAGCAGTCTCATCCCTGAGCTGCTGCCACCAGGATTATATTTTAATGACACTGTGACAGTGTGTCAGTTCCACACAAAGGGGAGCTCCACTATCCATCTGGTTTCCACTTGGAAACACACAGCAACTCCTGCACTAAAAAGAACGAACAATGAAAAGCAGGGAACTGTAGTGGATAGAGAACAGGTTTTGGCTTCCCAGGAACCTGAGTCTACACCTGGTCTTGCCACTGAACAAGTAGTGACGTCTGTGGTCCTACTCCCTCAAATAGCTATGGCACCATCTCCCTGACAGGGCTGCTAGGCGGGCTCACAGTAACAATCAAAGCACTTAGCACAGGGCCACATGTCATAGTAGGCAGGGACTTGGTACACGTAGATAATTACAGGGAGTAATTATCTTTTTGATGATCATACAAATTCCTGTCCTACTGCTACAGAGAAAACTTAGTCAATGGGAAGAACTCAGGTAGTACAGAGAACCCAGATGGGGCACTCATAGGCTGGGTGGACGCCCATCCAGTCACGTTCAACAATCCTCTGCCCATTCTGGTCCTTCTGCACAAGCTTACATCTGTGTAGGTGGAGTGAAAATTTCATTACCACAGGAGGGGAGAAAAACGTGGCACTCAGAGAATAGAGTAATATTATTTTAACCTCTGAAACATACACAGGTATTGTCTTAGTTTCATGTAAGATACGGAAGGGTATGAATTGGTTACTGGTAACACTGGGTATCGGAATAGCCAGTAACATCATGAAGAGTCAGAAAATAAGTGATAATATCTGAGTTCAGGTAATGATTCTGGCAATTATTCTGCAACCTTGGGAAAATTGTGTAACCTATCTGACTTCGAAATTAGAGAGTGTGTATAAAGTGATCTCCAAGCTCTTTCCAGTTAACTCTCATGACTCAATTCTTTGCTTTTACCTTTGGTGACATGTGTGGGATTATAATCAGGTTTCTTTTTGACTTGATTTTATTTTAAAATTTTAATCTCTGTGTTGTATGTCAATAATGATTGATTACATTCAAATAAATTTCACTTTAATGTTACTATAAAAACACTGACAATATGTGTTAAATAATAATTCTAAGGAAAAGAAAAATCTAATGAGTAAACCTAACTCATTAAACCTAGGGAAGGGGCCTTGAAATGGAAAAATAAGAAGAGCCTCTATGTAGAAAATACTGATTAATTTCATTTACTAGTTAGCAAATGGGAATGAAAGGTAATCACTAACAGTATAGAAAATTACAGCACTATTTTCATATTAATGAGGGAAATCAAGCAAATGAGGTGCTTGTTTCAAACCAACCCCTACTCTCCATACCATCAAGTCTGACTCTCTCATAAAAAAGAAAACAATAAAGTTTAAAAAAGCTAAAAGGAATCAAATCAAGCCTGTAGGTAAGATTGAGAATTTCAGATTAGGCCAAAAACAATAACGTGATTTTTTTAAAAAATAAACTTAAAACAAAGTGTCAAATAAACATAAAAACAATGAACAGATAGCTACCAGGCAGATAAAAACAACATTAAAATAAACAGGGAAATATTACTACCAGACAAAAAAGTAATTGAAGGGAAATTAGGGATAAAAAACCCCAAAGGGGTTAAATAGCTGTTCCAAGATCACATGACCTAAAAGAAGTAATTGCAATTTTAATTCAGCTCAGGTTCCAAAGCCTGTACCTCAGGTTCTGCATAACACTTCCGCCAGAGTCACACCGGTGTGCCTAGAATAGCTACTCGAATTTCCAGTCAGATCCATCACATAATAACCTTACTGATTATCTGCACATTCGTTCCTACATGAAACCAGAATCTGCTGTGTTTTCTATGTTCTGATACCAGGTTCATTACCTCCAAATGGTCTACAATGTTAGACCTCAGGGTCCTTTTCAATCAGTATCTCAATAAAGTAGTTAAAAAAAATTCTCCCTCATAAATGCTCCAACCTAACTCAACATGTCTAAACAACTGAAGGATTCTCCATCAGAATTGCCTCGAAAATTGTGTATCTTCTCTGTCTTCTCCCCGGGAGGTTAATGGGACTGAGGAGCTGGGACAGGGTTTATACCTAAGGAAGTCCTTCCTCATACAAGGGGCCAAAGGATGTTGGGAAAAGAAAGCAATACGGAGCCAAAACTTCTTAACACCAGGGCTAGGCTTCAGTGAATGTTTTGCCTCCCCTCCGGTAAATGGAGTTTTGCTAAAGGAAACAAAGCAGTGGTATCCTTAGACTCTTTTGGTTACAGTCTCCACCCTAACTCACTCTCACTCCTCAGAGAACGTGCCAGCCTCTTGGACAGGTGGCTGTGTCACCTGCACCTGCTCTGCTAGACCAGGAAGCACAAACGCCTCCCCCCCCCCCCGCCTCCTCTTAGCTCAGAAGCAGCAGGCGTCCCCAGTCCCAAGCATCTAAGCCAGTATCCGTGGAATTCCATGACCTTTCGTGCTCATCTTATCACCAACGTCATCACAGTG